GCAAGCAGAGGATGCTACTGCAATCTCTCACGCTGCCGTGGCCGTGATGACGATCCATCCGCATGGAACTTTGATGAGACCAAAGGTGGCATCACTTCTCTGCTGACCCAATTTGCTTCGCGAAGCGGTCAGCGAATTGTGTCAATTGGGGTCAAATAAGGTCAGCCCTCAACGACAACGCTTTACCAATTGGCACGATCAATTTAATTTCCGTCCGAATAAATTCAGACTCTCCTACTTTCGCTTCAGCTTTCATTAGCTTATACGTGTCCCAGTTGTGTTCATAAACGTATTTGCCTGATGTGAGTTACCAAAAAGAGATCTCTTTGCAACCATGTTTTCTTACATTCCTATAGACATTATTTACGAACTTCTATTCTGTTACCCATGAGGCAGTTGCTTTTCCTGAACTTCACTCTACTGCGTACGTTGTGCTTAAGGTTGTTTGCTCAGTCCTAGGATGACTGCTCTGGCTGGTCTTTAGTTTTGTAACTTCTGCTCTTTTGATTCTGGTCTTTAACAGTCCGGAAATCCAGCATATAAACGTGTCGATTGTTTCTCGGTAGCGCGGGTCTTGAATAACTACATTCATTTCTCATTTCCGGATACAATCAGAGCATTTGCGGCTTGCAATACTTCACTCATCGAGGAGACTGTGTCACCAGTGCCTTCACGTCTTCGCATACTAGTCAGCTTTTGGGACGCGTTAGCACTCGAATTTTTATTTTTTTACCTATGACATTCATACTATACCATTTCCGAGTCAACTTAGTCCACACAGGCAACGGATTGAGCTGTTCCGATATTGGGTTCCTTTGTTATCCTAATAGGTTGGTCCATCTATAATACACATTGATTCAGGGGACAGTGATATGCGTGCATCGGCGTGCGGCTGTTTCTAAAGCCGAACACCGCAAACCAATAGGAAATCGGATGCATGGACTTTGCAACGTGGACGCATGTGCGGGACCCAGCGGTGTAAGTGCTTCCCTTCAGCCCGGGTAACACACGTCAGCTAGAGGTTGGAAACACCTCAACTACTGTGCAGCAATACATAAAGGAAAAGGAGAATAAATACAACATCTGCATGCCAGCTAAGCTACCAGCAACAGATAGGCATCGTTCCGGTAGGCTACCAGCCGGCCACTAGGCAGAAAGAAAAAAATTAATATGTTTTACACTTTGAAATAAGACCATAGATGGAGGAGGAGGCTAAAAGGGATTGGCAGGGACAAAGAAACTCACAGCAGGAACACCACAGAGGTCGGCTCCTTGCCATATCAACAAGTGTATCCAGTCAAACGTGTTCACCGTCTTTTGGACCCCAACCAGAGAGCCGTGAGGGTCCAACCGAGGTAAGCTCCGAAGTGAGGGCCTTCATTCCTCTGGACCAAGTTATCGCTTGGCCACCCCTCCTCTTCTTCCATCCACATCCCTGGCGAGCAAACAACGCACGTCGTGGAAGTCGGTGGGCTGGCATGGGCAACACGTGGCCGAGCATCCGGAGCCTAGTGCGTGAAATGACGGTGCTGAGCGGTTCAGATTCACTTTCTGTGCCGTAAACAAGGCGTCGAACACGCTCGTTACTCACACGGTGTTCCCACCAGATGTGAGCCAAACTGTGAAGGCACCGATGGTCGAACTTAACTAGCCTCTTCATGTCTGCTGATCTCAGGGGCCAGGTTTCGCAACCGTACAGTAGGGTCGAACGTACCGCTGCATTGTACACTCTACGCTTCAGGGCGAGAGTAATGTCGTACCGCCTCCATAGGTGGCGAAGGTTACCAAAAGCACTCCGAGATTTTGCTATACGGTTCGTGATCTCGTCTTCGATCCCTCCGGCGCTGATACAACTTCCCAGTAGTGGAATTTCCGAACGACTTCTAGCTGATCCCCACCAAGGGTCGGCGCAAGAGGCGATCCCTGCCAATCTTGGAGGAACGCTTTGCATTTCAGTGGTGCAAAACAAAGCCTGAAGCGGCTGACAGCCAGTGCTAATCTGTCCAGCGCGGCTTGGCACGTCTGGGAGCTGTCACAGATGAGGGCAATGTCGTCTGCATACTCCAGCTCGAACATGCTGGTGTGCGACTTGGCACATGAGTAATGACGCATTACACAACGAGGGTGAGTGTAATAACTTGTTACTTTCTGATGTTACTAACGGCAGGCTAAGATGAAACTGGGTCAATATATAATAAGGAATTTGGGCATGATCCACCGCACCGTTACATCGGTGTCTCATGTTCTATAGGGTCACTGGCCACTCGCATTCTGACAATGCCAACAGTCGGTGTTCCTAAGCCAAACTCTAAGTCGCTTGTCCGTACGAGCTATCGCGAGCTGTGGACAAAAGCGCGGGGTGGTCATGGTTTACTTTTGTTTTAACTGATAAACCGCATGTGCACCAGTGGATGTCTACACCGTCACTGGGGCGATTACCGCAGCACACGAACTTTCTTGCGACTGCGATGGGTAACCTATCCAACTGTGCACTAATGTTGTAATGCAGCTGATAATATGGGTGATCTTACTGTTTTTCCTCGGTCGGTACGCTTTGTAAGGTTATAAAATGATCTTTTCACGCTGTGAAAGAGTGCTCTCAGAACCTGGATGCACGCATTCCACAGCTTTACGGTCCCCCTGTACTTTTCCTTGGGTCATCTGAAAAAGGTTTCACTTTGATTATACTCTCCATGTAACTTGTTTTTGTATTCAGCTGAATGTCTAGAGTGTTTCTCGCTTAGTTACTTGATAGTAAGCATCTAGCCCCCCCACCAGTTTTCCTTTCAACGTTCTAAACGACCCTTTTCATCTGCCACGTGTTGATCTACCACGATCTGTGTTTTTCCTTCACACTTTGTACATCTAGACTCCTATCTTCTAGGAGTACGTTACAGTTTAATCGGAGTTTACTGCATTTGTTATACTTAGTTGCCGACCCAACGAAGGTTATCAGCATGATATGCACGTGTTTGCTCGAACAATAGCTAAAACTTCCACAAGGATTGGTTGTGCTTAAAAAAAGCCAACAAGTTATAATACCCTGAAGGAATCCAAGCATACATCTTTACCTTCATTCTTTTGCTACCACTGCCTCCTACCTCTAAATCTTTGCACCTGAACGTGATTATTTAATCTCATGCGTGAGCATAAAACCTCTCTGGTGCTTCCAAACTGACTCTGCTTAGAATCAGCTCCCCACAAAGGGGAGTAATATACTATTTGTGCATCTGTTTATTTAACCAGCTTGCATTTCCCCTGGTGCCTCTGCATCACGTGTTCCGATGGCGAAGTAATCTCGTAAAAGAAAACACAACACAGCAGATTAAAGTCCATCGTTTCGTCAGAGGGCGAGATACTACCCCGTTGCCCAAGCCGAAGTAGGGTGTTGACTTAGGGGACACCACCCCGAGCCTTTGATTGAATAGCCTGCCCGCAAGGCAGCGGAGCGAATTCAGGGAATCGCGTTCATTGGGAGCCGGTGCCTGATTGCTCAGGGGCCCAATGCTCCCCAGAATTACAGCACAAAGTTATTGGAATACAATGCTTCGCCAGGATGAAGCAAGGGGCAGTGACTTTATTTAGTGGCGAGTCACGTCCGCCACGTCACAGTGTAGCTTTTTATAAGGAGAACGCTTGCCAGGCGAAAACCCACCACATCCTGGAACACTGCCGCCGAACCACTTGTTGGACCGGGAAAATCCCGAACCACCCAGCTGGCACCACGAGGATGTTGTTTGGCAAGCCAATTTCTATACCCTCTTTTGTGTTCCTTGGTTTCTGATGGCTGTGTGTCTATTCATAGACTGTTGCATATATATATATATATATATATATATATATATATATATATATATATATATATATATATAAAGTAATCTCGTGGAAGACTTGAGACCCAGAAGTCAGCTAAGCGAAAAATCTTGTTTTCGGCGGCCCTCCCATAAGGCTTGTACACTACAACAGGTACACGTGAATGGAACTAAGGCAGGATTTCCATATATGCTATGAATCAACAAACGAATTGTTTAATCGAATGATTTGTGATCATACTGTTTTGGGTAAGATTTTGGGATATGGTAAGATCATTGTTGTTAGATGAGGTAGCGGACTGTGACGGATTTGTTTTGCACACACATGTCCGGATTATGGATTCGAATAGTGATCGCCTCTGCCGTCAACAGTAGTCGACATCTGACTGGCCGCGTGCAGCGTCCAGATTGGCTGAAAAACCTCATACACATTGATTTGTTGCTTGGAGTCGACCAACTCCGATAGCACGGGGCATGTCACTGACCTCTCCATACTACATAGAATCACGCTGGGCAGTATTGCTACAAACAAGAAAAGGTGTATGGAAACATTATAGTGTTGCTCATCCCAACACTGGTACCCCAAGACCGCGGTTTCGTCCTGGTTGGGACTCATCAGTTGGAGATAGCCTGAGTTGGGCTGGAACTCAGAACCTAGTGGCTCATGGTTGACGCGATAAGCACTATGCCATTGAGATCCGCGAGCAACGCTTGGTCCAGCGGAAACGAATTGATAGTTGAACTTGGAGAACTAAGAACTAAGAGAAGATGTACACACGGAGAAGGAAGGCTTTGACTTCGATTTTTTTGTCTTGATATTTTCATTGCTAAAGATTCCGTTGGTGTTGTGTTGCATGAATGAGTCAGCTGTACTATTTTCCGGTATTCTGTGTTCGCCTATTTTCTCAGCTGCAGCCATCAGCACGTTGAACTGAGTTATACCTCTCACCTATGCACAATTCTTCAAGATGCTATCACGCAACCAATCGTTTAACTTGTTTTATCCCCTTTCGCTGCTACACTATGTCCATCGCAGCCATAAGGTCCCCGATTCGAATCCTCCGCGTATACTCAGCCCCCGCACGACTGGTGGTGGTCGCGCGGCAGCGAAGCGCCGTTACGACTTACAGCTAACGCACTATATCCCTTTTATCTTACCTCCTCCCTTTTCACTCCGCTTTCGTTTAGATGCTTCACAAAGATCCAAATTCACGCATTCCCTTGCTCGATGTACCCGCTCACTCGTGGGTAAAACAGTTTGCAGAATTTTCGCTGAACCGTTGCTCGGCGGCGCTTGCAGATTGGGAGACCTTTGGCCAATGTGCTCAATCCTCCGCGCATAGCAGCTTTGAATCCGGTGACCAACCCGACTCTAGAACGCTTTCCGTTGATGAGACTTCTAATCCACTACCCAGTTGATTGTACCTGTTATGAGCCCATCTGTCTTGTCTTTCATCTATCTGATTCGTCGTTTTCCTTTTTCATATTGTACAGGGACATTTAACTTCGTCCACATGGCTTGCAAATATAGCATATGTTCTGTATCCTTTCACTAATTTCATTCCATGTTGGGTCCTTCGTGTTCCGTGAGGCATAAGCGCGTAAACTCCTCGTTTCGTGTATTGTTTACGTTTGGAATTTTGCCGCTGTCGCTAGCATCACTCTGTGGCGCTTTTGCCACTCCACTTCAACTGTCTTTCTCCAACGGCCACCTTCGTACTCAACGAATAACTTCCGCCACTTCGGTATCTATACAGCTGATCAAACTTGGTACATTGTACCTTTTTCTCACGATCAAAGCAAGTGGAAGTATCAGTTCTGCTTTAATCGTGCGTCAAGAGGTATTATAGCCAGATCTCTCCCGTTGTCTTTCTTCACATGGGTAAGCGGAAATATTACGGTGTTTCATGTACTCTACATTCCACTTACCTATGTGTTTATTCACGAACCTCGATTTTTCTATGGCGCTGTTGTCACGATGAACTGGCGCGCTTGGTTTGATGTGAGCCTCTGGTATCTCACTTTCCAATTGTCCACTTACGAGTGACTGTTTCACTGACAATGAACTACTGACGCCTCCTGAAATCACAGCCGTATGATAAAGTGAGCCTAACTAGGACCGTATTTGCCTCGATCATGAATATTCAGGGACCTGGTGAACATGGGGGCCACTACGAATTTGTTCGTTAACCTCATTTCTGAGGATAGAAAACCTCCTTAGCGGTCGCATGCTTGCTCATTGGCCTATCCATTAAGTAGGTGAGTATCTCCAATTCGCATTGTTTTGTGAGAGCGCATCCGACCGATTGGTCACTTCTTCCGGTGTGGTTTTTCTCCTGGTCTACGTGACTGGAGCATGGTGAAAAGACTATTGCCCGCCTATTCTCCAAAACGAGACAGATGATCGAACTCGTCCAACATGTCGCTACCACGCCTATCCCCAGTTTACGGGGTTTGTATATGAAGAATGGTGCAAGAGATTAGGACAATGCTCCGTTTTGTCGTCGGTTACTAGCCGACTTCATGATAACCTATAGTGTTTTACATCTCAAAGACTCGCATGCTTTAGCTACTGCTTGTCTTCTCAGATCTGAAGCGAGTTGTCCACTCCCCATGATTCCGATACAGAGTAGTCTATGTTTTGAACGGGTTTCCAAATCAGGTAAGGGGGAGAAACTCTGTGCAACAGTCAACAATATTGCTAGAGTTGCATTTTTCAACGGTGAGATTCAGAGAACAAGCAATCGTTGCCAGTATGATATCTTATATTTGTGTGTTCTGTATTACATTTGGTCTGGTATTTTTGACATACCATACACAAGAACTTGAAGATCACTCAGAGTATTGACATGTGTGGGATAGTGTTATCTAGCCCTTGATCCGGATTGGAATTCTACTCGGCCCAGCACTTCAGTTCTCGGACATAAGTTTATCACCAGAAGGTCCCTGAGCTTTGTCAACAATTATCGTTCCCCAGAATTCAGGTGATTTGTGTCCTCATCCGCGACTGCAGGGCACTAACAACGTCGGATGTCCCTGGGAAGTGCCCTGTCGGCCATATGTACAGTGTTGCCGCATCTGTCTCGTAAGTCGGCTTCAGGTCGGACTGACCTTGCAATCGTTCAACATCACATCCTTATAACCACCAGCGCGATCTCGATGAGGTGCTTAATTTATATTTCAGTGTTGCTCGATCCGTACAACTTGTCCTACCATACTACAACAAGATCGCACGTACCTAATGTTGAATGTGATATTCTTCTGAGATTGAGAATCAGAGCGGCGGCATACTTCAAATGTTCGTTACGGTTGGCCTCACACGGTCATTCTCGTCAGTTGTGGGCTAGGCTGTCGTTCATTGAAGCTTATTGGACATTTGATATCTTCCATCAAGTTGGGCGTTTTTTAATCGACGAAATCCGGAGAATGAAACCACATGCCACTGTGAGTGGCAACTTTGCACGCTACCTGCTTCCACACGCAGGCTCTTGGATGACAATTCAAGAATATGAAACAGATGGTTCATTCCCAAACTTCGCAGGTCGGCTCTTCTTGAGTACATCCATCACAACTACGACTTTTTCCGCTTTTTCTGGGATGTGATAAGCCCCGAAGACACCCACAAACCTGTGCGAACACGTCCACAAGTTATGCATTCAAGATGGTGGCGCTGTAGATAATACCATTCCATACGAGCGGATAACTTATAGATATTCAGCGCCTATACTCTTTTAACATGAATCTTCCTTTATAATCCCAAAGAAAAAAATCAGAAGACAATGGTTCTGGGGTGACACAGTCATTTCTTGCATAATCGTCGGCCACGTATAAGCAATTAACAAGCAATGAAAAACAATATACATGACGTCCATTAATGGGCATGCGTTTTCCTGTTGGTGTGTTGTACACTATCACGGTAGGCTTAGTGTAACCATCAACTGTTTTTGGAACACATTGGCGGTAGTTGTCGATTGATAACAATGACCTCGAGTAGGTTAAGTGTGTAACATCTTTGACTGTGCATGATCGTCTGAGTTCACCCGGTGACCGGTGCTCATAATTGTTGGGACCACTTTGCTTCTCAATTCACTGGGTGCACCTGTACTCGATCAAACTGCTGGAGGCCGTTGTTATCGATCGACAGCGCCCACCACTGTGTCCAAAAACAGTTGAAAGTGTTACTAAACCTTCCGTGGTAGCGCGCAGCTCAGCCATCGGAAACCGTTTGCCCATTACTTAATTTCATGTGACATTGTATTTCTTCCCTTGTTAGTCGCATGTACGTGCCATGTTATTGGTTCCACCTTTTATGATTTCTGCTGAAAAGTCAAACTGTTGACGGCTTGTTTAGACCAGATGTACTTAACATTGCAGTTTATGTGTTAAAGGCAAATGCAACATTAAATGTTGCTATATGCTTATTTCTAACAGCATACTAAAATAGACCTATAGAGCTTAGGCCTGTAAATGCACTGGTTCCGAACCTGGTCGAAGGGCTGAAGGTTTCCGTGAGAATTGGTTTCGGCCACTCAATGGAACAATACGGCGGTCCAACACACCGGTAAGCGTCCAGAGAGGAAGCGGTTGAAGTGTGTTCCGGCCGTACTCGTTCAAACTAAACGGAGCTTTAACAACGTAACAATTCGAAATGCGCGACGAAGTCAAAGACTACCATTACGTGTTTGAGAGATGACAACGGTAAACAGACAATCAAGTATAGGGCTAGTAAACACTGGTCTGAGACTATGCGCGGATATCATTATGAAAAATGAAGTCGGACTATAGCAATGAAGACTGGTAGCTCAGGTTGTTCAGATGACTATTCGCTGAGCTTGGCAATTTTGTTGCAAACGTTTCGTCACCATTCGAGATGACATCATCAGTGCGCAGTTGGGTGGCGTGCAATAGCGTAGAGGAGCCTCGGTGAGAGTGCCCACCGGTATAGACAACACCTTAGACAACATCTTTGATGCTGAATGCCTACGTGCGTCCTCACGTCGAATATTCAATCCAGGCCTGGCAACCCTGGCTAAAACTTGACCTTGCAGCGCTTGAGACCCCACAGCGTCGAGCAACGAAAATCGTCAAGGGCTTGCGCCACACTTCTTACCAGGAACGACTGGAAATACTCGGAGTGTTCAGCGGACGGTATCGGCGACTTCGTGGAGACCTCATACTAGTGTACCAGATATTGAGCGATCCCAGTCACGTATGCCGCCACCTCTTGAAGCTCAGCCCGAACACTAACCATCGCGGTAACAATTTAAAGCTGAGCCAACAGTACAGTCGTCTAGACTGTCGGAGAGCCTATTTCTCCCTCCGGGTCTGCGGGCCCTGGAACGCCCTTCCAAATTCAGTTGTTTGTGCCCCCACATTAGATACGGTTAAAAAACGATTGGACGTCGCACTGAGCGCCCTGCGCTTTGTTTTATGAACGAAAACGCTTGTATATATTTAGGCTGACCAGCTTCTTTGGGTTTATGCCCCAAATTCACGGTCGTAAATCTGTGCGAACCGGTGAGTACTCCATTTTTATTTGCTAACATCACCAACGATAACAATTTCTTAGCCAGTTTTGCGTCGTACCACTTTATCCCCCTAAAATTGTTATACTTCTACCTTTTATCTCACTGACACTCCTTACTTCAACCACTTATGTGGTTTGCCAATTTGTTAGTATTTCTATTGCCAACCTGCGGGACTCGTTAAGTGTATGCTTTTTTACCCGTCATATACCATTGTTCCATTGTTCATTTTGATTTGCGTATAGCGCTGTGAGCGCCCGGCTGCGGAAATCCAGGGGTTTGCCAACTTGCATGAGAATGGCGCCTGTTCCGCTCTAACTACTCTCTCATTGCTCCTCCAGAGGTAGAGTTGGATTGTAGTAGCCGAGTACTGTTGTACACTCGACTTGTTGTCATTCGACCTTAAGGATCATAGTTACCATAGAGTTCACGCTAGGCTATAGCATATACTAGGTACTGTGTTTCTCAGTTTACAACACTTTTGAAATGAGAAAAAGAAATGTTGAATACCGGGTAACCATGGTAAGCAGGTACGTTGCGGTCATAATGAGTGCCAAGAAACCTGTGCCCTGTTATACACAATCCATACCATCTGGGATACAGCACTAGGTGAATAAATCGAATAGATCAGTGACTGAGAGTTCAGTTCGTGTTTTCAACCTTATAGTTCCACTGTTAGCCAGAATAAAGACGTTGGAAAAACAGTTAGACGAATAAAATGAGAAACTATGGATGACTGACTCATGGGGATTCCCTTAGGTTCGTTTCATACATAATGTGGCTCCGACTAAGCCAGAGCGAAAGGACATAATTGGAGCATAAAACTTCCTTAACGCAGTCACCTCTGAGAGTACCCAAAGATGCAGAAGAGGAAATAACGTCACTGACCTCAACGTAACTGATAATATCTCTATAGTCAACATTAGATATACTGTTTCGAGCGAGCCTCACTGCTGAGACCGATATTAGTTGTAGGAGGTTGAGTAAAAATATTTACCTTTTCCTTGTCCGACTCTG